ATACAAGGGGGAGCCAATAAAAAAAGACATTTTGTCTCCAGACTCAAATGGATTTAATCACACTTTGCTCAGCTCAAAGCGTGTGCTCCCAACTTAGAATTGAAGAGCGCATTTCATTTCATAAGAAAATCTTCATAGTGGCCATCTACGTGGACGGCATCAGAAAAGTTTGCCCCGGAAACATGGTGCTCTGGTCGAGCTCAATGGGGTTCTCGACTGATCGTGTACCGTTACGACGGGTTCCGAAGGGCGGGTTCCGAGGGGGTTTGCATAGTTAGAGCTAATGTCCCTAGGAAACTATCCCACGTTGAATCGATCCAAGAAATTATGTAAGAGCTTCAGGCTGAAGCAGTTACTGTAGGCCTCCCTGAGCTCGACGACGGTGACAGATGACGTCATATTCTGAAGACGGTGAGGGTAGTGAAGGAGGGCCTGCGTGTACTTATTTAGGGAACATTTTGCTGAGGAACTTCCGACGGCAATCTCTGCGAAGAAAAAAAAGGCCGAAGTGCAACCTGGGCAAAATGTCTTTTTCTGGCTCTCCCTGTATATGTATATACAGGGGGGGGGGGGCAAAAAAAAAGACATTTTGCCTATGTCGGACTTCGGCCCTTTTTTCTTCGCAGAGATTGCCGTCGTTGACGGGAAGTTCCTCAGCAGAGTATTCCCTAAATGTCCCTCTATAAGTAACGCAGGCCCTCCTTCACTGCCCTCACCGTCTTCAGAATATGACGTCATCTGTCACCGTCGTCAGGCTCAAGGAGGCCTACCGTAAGTGCTTCAGCCTGAAGCTCTTACGCAATTTCGTGAATCGATTTAATGTTGGATAGTTTTCTAGAGGCATTAGCTCCCACTATGCAAATCCCCTCGAAACTAGCTTTCCAGTAAAGGTCGTTATGGTACACGATCCTTCGAAGACCCCATTGAGCTCGACCAGTGCACCATGTTTCCAGGGCAAATTCTTCTGATGCCGTCCACGTAGGTGGCCAGAAGATTTTCTTATAGAATGGAATGCGCTCTTCAATAATAAGTTGGGAACCATTCGGTCTGAATTGAGCAAAGTGTGCTTAAATCCATCTGGAAGTGGAGACAAAATGTCTTTTTTTTATTGGCCCCCCCTGTATACAGGGGTGGCCAAAAAAAAGAGACACTTAGCCCATGGCGCACATCATCGAACTTTTCGTCGCACAGGGAGCCGATGTTAATGAAAGTTTTACGGCGTTATATTCCTTAGGTGTTCCCCGTAAACAGAAGCAGGCCCTCCTTCACTGCCCCCGCCGTCTTCAGAATATGACGTCATCTGCCGTCACCGTCGAGCTCAACGAGGCTTACCGTAATCGCTCCGGCCTGAAGCTGCTACATAATTTCTTCAATGGATTAACTGTTGAATAGCTTCCCAGAGACATTAGCTGTGACTGTGCAAAACCGCTTTTGACCAGCGTTTCAGGGACGTCGTAATGGTCTATGGTACCTCGACGACCTCGTTGAGCTCGTACCGTGAACCATGTTTCCGTGGGAAAATCTTCTGATGTCGTCGGTGTAGAAGGCTGTCATGTAATTTTGATAGATTAGAACGTGCTCTTTAACACTTGCTGGCACTGAGCGGTGAAGTGTTTTCGGGATATTTTGAGATTTTTCGAATGTTTGGAGCTGGGTAAGAAGCTCTACAAGTTATTTGCCCCAAAGTATAGTATAGTATATCAGAACTGTTGCTGTGAAATTTCTTCGCATCGACCCAATATCAAGAGCCTGCCCAAGGACGTTCCCGAAGTTGCGACTCCGCACAGCGACTCTTTATTCCCTCTTCCATTCGTCGAAACATTTTCGCTGCTCTCAAGATATGTACACATCTGTAGTATTACAACAAGTGGAATTTTGGGAATTGCGCACACTCAGATGATTGCGCAATCACCCGGAAGAGTACCACTCACAGAAATGGAGCAGGCGTGGTTGACCTCGCTTTTGATCTTAGGG